GTAGTGGACAACATCCAATTCAAAGAAAAGAATATGAAAAACAACAAAGACACGAAAGAAAACACTTGAAAAAAGGAAAAAAAAATTCAAAAACCTGACGTCCGGTTGGGGTTACGTGCAGTGTGCGGCTTTTGGTGCATGTCGAGCTTTTGCACCACAGAAATTGCATCATTCGTGATTTTTACGCGTTTTACCTTACGAGATGGGTTGCAGTTGACTGTATGTGCTCCCAATGAATAAAATGTGATGAAGGAGAGCAGAATTATTTATGGGCACGAGCGCGGTCAGCAAAAAGTACATGCAGTTCCGATTAATGCCCGCCGTCCCAACAAAGAACAACTGAGCGGCTCTCCGTCGAGTGCGGCAGCCAACAAGTGGGCGGTCCAACTGGGCGGGCGTTAGAACTAGAACTTTGAGCGGCTGTAGCTCGCTCCTCGCTCACTGTGGAGTCGCGAGAGTGGGATAGTATCTAGCTTGGGGGCTGAACTACCTGCACAAGGAAGGACGACCATGTACTACTCGAGCGCGGGGGCTGTCTTTAACACTAGCTTCAGCACCGGGAATGTGATGCATGTGCCACCACTGCGAACCAGAGCGTTTGCTCGCGGAGATTAGAGATTTCGGCGACTGGTGAGCGGCTGCTACCGTAACCCTGGCCCGTCGTTGAAGTCCCTTCCCCTTTTCTCCCAAGCGGATGAGCCAGTGGTAAAACGTATATCATGCGAGCAGTGCCAGTATAACAGTATAACACGAGCAGTATAACACGGGAATGAAAGGCACCTAAACTTGGGTAACTGAAGCAAGCGAGCGGAATACTCTAACAACAATTCACTGCCTCCCAAATCTTTCTTGTCTCGCGAAGGAAGAGCAACTTCTCCGATCGTGGAGCGTGCCTTCGAAGTTCTATCAGGAATCAGAGCTTCTCTGCGGCGAATGTCGGCACTGAACTGCCTTTACAACCGCATGTGGAAGGACAAATTTGATCAACTGCGCTTTAAAAGCCCAGTAGCCAGTTCTCGAATATTGGGCATATTCAGCGTATTCGTCAATTTCAGTCATATGAAAATAGATATTTATTCAGCCCTTAAAATGATCACAGAACATTATAACAACCATGATTATAGTCTAAATCACCCTCTATACTTCCAAAAGAAATACAAGAAATTCAGAAGAACACAAATAAAAGGAAACAAAGCCGTTCGAAGTAAAATAAGTCAACAATTTGCGCTTCACTCTACATAGAGAGCTACGGTAGCAAAAAGAAACTGCTCTCCTGTTGACATATGAAAACGGGACTAATAGCAATGCGGGGCTTTCAAAAAAAAAAAACTCGGACTTCGCACAATATATTCAGAAGCAGGTAAAATAAGGATATCTGAAGAATAGATGACCTTTGGCAACAGCTCTCAACACCCTCTTTGAACAATTTTCTTGCACGGCCAGTGTACTAGAGAAAAATAGAAGAGGAGCTTACTTATTATCTAACCATAGAATAGAAACGACGGGCTAAGCTGAAGCGCACAACCTCAAAACTACCCTAATCCGCTCGATCTGTTGTGCTAATCGGCAATGACTTGCATGGTAAACACTGCAAGGCCTTTGGAAACACTCACACTTCGCCACTAGCGCGATTCAGTCGCGCGACATATATCAGGTCGCTTGACCTACGAAGTATGAACGTGACCTAAGCCTTTGGTCGGTGCTTGCGCCAAACTGGCGAATCGAAAAACTGCCCGTTGGGCACGAATTTAGTCTTAGATTGCAGTCCACCAAACCTGAGTGAAGAGGTAGGGACCTCTAAATCTTCCTTTCGCCAACCTCCAGCCTCGCTGATTCCTTCTCTGGAACGACATTCTCCCAGACCCCAGCGGGGGAGGAGGCGGGGGGCAATCAGTCGTGACCTATATTCTTTCGACTTATTTTTTCGGCTCACCGATGCTTTGAAAGGCAGATTAATTTCCCTAACTGATATGTACCTATTTTTTTCTCCCATAGTATCCGATTCGCCAGTTCAGTGCAGCTTCAAAGGGTCTCATAGTAATTGATTCATTGCAAAACTTGTATAATAGCAGCGACTTTGAAAAGTGACCTCTGTGGTTTAAGGACGCAATTTGAGAATGCCGACTGGGCGGAGTTAGGGAATGGCGTCATTACCGCGCCCCTTCTCTTTCCGCCTCCTTCGCCGCATTGGCAGACGGAAAAAGAGCGCACAAATGGCGTCATCTCGTGGCTCCGCCCACTTGACGATCCCAAACGGTGCATTTCAAGGAAACCATAGGAGTTTGGGATATTATTAAAATAAAAGTTACATATTAATCGCGCGCACACTCTCAGTCATAATAACATACGCATACATTATGCTGTAGTACACAATGGACTGGCACTTACACGTAGGAAAAGAGCAGCCGTATGACAGAAAATAGATGATGAGAGAAGAGAAAAATGAAAATCAGAAAAAGATGACGTAATCATAAAAACTAGATTGAAAATCGATAACCACGACAGAAAACGGTCACAATTATCATATGTTTAAATAAGAAATAGAAATAATTACGGCACAAAGAAGAATGTTCCTGCGTTAAGTAAACCTGTTATCGATTTTTCAATTCCATATGTGTTCGCTTCGACCACCGTCCACAGCAGCAACCGACAAGTAAGATAAAGAAGACCACGCCGGACAACCATCCAAGTATCGAAATCTAAACAAATGAAAAGAATTCGGGACAAAAGTATTAGCATGTCTCCCCAGTAGTTCGCAATTTATGGCCGTTGATCAATCCCTTTATGGGTGCGGCACGCATTCTACTTCCATTCAGAATCGTAGTGGCTTATTGAATGCGATGTGGCCTATACAATGACTTGCGGGGCCAGCCAATGTCAGTGTTTTATCCTCCCAGACGAATCTGGTACCGAATTCACCATCCCTGGAGGGTAGAAGGCTTGGTTGGCCTAGACGGGAGTCGATGCAGGATTTGAAACCAGGACCGCGCGAGTGGTGAGCGTACCACTTGTCACTGCACTACCGCCTTGGCAGCACTCCAGTCCACGTCCCCCCCCCGTCACAGCCCTATCGTTTGCAAGCATCATGACTGTATTGCAGTCCGGAAGCACTTTCGAGGGTCCACCTACACCTGCTTGCATAGAAATCATGAATAACATTTTTGATTCAATCAGTAATCAAGTACCCTTTCCGCGCTGACCAAATGGGCGGAGCCACTCAAACAAGTTCGCCCTTCTCCATGATTAACCATTTCTTTTATGAAGAGAAAGAAGAAGAGCGCAATAATCCAAAAGACCCCGCACATACAATCAGCGCAGAATCTGCCTTTAAACACACCTGTATGACGGCTACCTGCGAAAAGGGTCTTTAGGTAAGGTACGTAGCTGCAGCAACGTATCAGCTTGGCCAGTCCGACGTTTGAAAATTCACAGCAGTTAAGCCTTGTTTGGACTGGGTGTTCTTTATGTCCCCTCGAACATATCACGGACACACAACAGGCCGCACGGCTAACAGTACTCCTAGCCGGCGCTGTTCGGCGACGAGGGACGGGGGTGTTCGGTGGGCATTTTGTACTATCATTGCGCCCTTATCCCGTTTACAAGTCTCACTCTGGCGAAACCTGTGAACTCTTGTGAAGCTGGAGCAAGGTCGTCAAGCCATCATGTTAAAACCTGTCAACTCGAGAAGAGGCTGTCTAGATAGGTCGACACGTCGATGGGAAGTAGCAAAAGTGCAAAATGCCCCCCCCCCCCGTCGGCGAGCTGCGCCCTCCTTTAGCCGTATACCCCACCTGTCTACGCCCTCTCACGTAACTGTGGCGCAGTCGTTCTCTCCAGCTCGACTTCACCAGTGTGTCAACGTTCGCTGCAGGGCCTGGGACTAAAGCGCTGCGTTATATAGCGCTTCTGAGGAAGCATATGTCGCAGCGGTAAACACTGCTATGGCTATGAAGTAAACGGATATGATTTCACGCCTCACATATTTCATACCAAATGTAACTCCAGGGAAGAGAGGAATTTGCTTGAGCAATCGCTACATAAACAAGTCATTCAAGACTAAGGTCGAAGCTTCCTTCAATTTGTAAAAAAAATAAACACAGTGCTCAATGTACAATTGTAGAATTTCTGCGAAATTCCAAAACGAGATTTTCTACAAGATGCGTTATCAAAAGTAAGTGGAGGCGAGACGCAGTACGTCCTAGTGAAGTTAGTACAAGCGGCCTCGCAGCAGCTCCGCAGTTCCGCCCGGTTTTAAAATCAGTGTACGCGGTCAACGCCTGGCCTTCTCACCCTAATGAGCAGTATAACTTGGAACAATCTTGCTGTTTGATTTTTTGCCGAATGGAAAAAAACACTGACTCAGACAACGGCTGGTCCCATTCGTCGTGTGGGCCATGACGTATTCAATAAGCCTTTACGATTCGGAATGGAAATGCGTGCTGCACATCACAAAGGGATTGATCAACGGCGAAGGCTTTCTCTTTTCTAATGAATTTCAGTTAATCATCAATCGCCACCCACCTTGTGAGGATGACTCGCCACGAGGGGGATTAGGGGGATCTATCCTTAGTCCGGGGGAGGGTGGGGGGATCTGGGATTCAGGGGGGATGGGGGCGGAACATTTTGTAGGCTTCATGCCAACTTTCCGGCCACGCCATTTGATATTGCTGAAAAATTTCAGCCAATTATATTCATTGCAATATTCTGATTATAGCTACAGTATCACATCAAAGGAGATTTATTTAGGTCTCCTCCTCTCATTATTGCCAAATTATTAGCCATTCATTTGTTTACAGATTATTTAAATATGAGGTAAATCTCATAGCGTGCATCGCCTTTCTAAGCAAAGTCAAAGGTGCATAAGCCGACGAGGAAAATGTTATTAGTGATGAGATGCCAACCTGATGAGCTTTCATCCACAATTTGTTTCTATCCGCAAGCATATTGCGACATGTTTGAAGCGTGACATTTGGAGCGTTTCGGAACTCTCTGCTGCCTCATCAAGCCACCATAATTACTGTAAAAACAGAGGTCATAGCATTGGTGAAAGCGTTAACATAAGCTTGTCCTAGGTTATCTAATAATTTTATGTGGTTTCTATTAAGTTGTCCAATATCACTGCAGAAACGGGACAACTTTTTTCACAATTCATTTAGCACTTACAAGGAAAGGATGGTTGGTCGAAGTGGCCATTTAAGACAAGATGCATACACACTGATGCGTCTTCGGACGCTGATTTCAAATCTGCTTTCCATATCTGCTAAACGATTCTCTGAGCAGAGATATGCAGGAGGTTGTTGTACGGAGCACAATTGAGCTTGGTACACAAATGAGACGTGAGGCATCATGTGGAGCATCGTGGCCTAGCGGATAGTATGCCGCGCTCAAGTATGCGAGGCGAGAGGTTCGAATCCCTCCATGATCCCTCGTTTTGCATTTCCTCAAAAATGCCTCCTGCACTTCCGGAAAGCACTTCTGCGAGGCTAGGAGACCTGCTTCTACCAGAAAATTTTATTTCTGATGTGATAGAGCCATTTTGGAACACTCCTAGTGGGAACTCCTGATTGTTGGTTTCGGCGACATTATTCGTTCCGTCGTGTTGTGAGGCCAAACTAATTCCAGATTACATGGGAGCCAAAAGTGGATGTCGTGGTTGTTATCAGGATCGTCAGTAACCAACAAGGACTAAGATTTAGCGAGGAACCTCCACTGCTCACAGAGATTTGAATCGGCGATAGTGCCAGCAACCTTTAGGAATTGGCTGCCTATGGTTACCCCACTGTATCGAAAATAGGTCGAAATCTCAAATTTGGTTGAAAACTTGTCTCTAGGGCTAATTTGAGCCCCAGAGCACGAATATCACACTCGTTCGGCGTAAAAACGCTTGCCAAGGACGTTGCAGGTTCCTGCACACCCTGCCCCTCCAGAATGCGTACAAGACGTTTTCACGAAATATAACTGCAGTGTTGATTTCCAGGGCACTGAAGCACCTCTAATTTCAGATTCCAGCCAATTTGGGCAATTTGGAGCACCTCATATACATGCTGGAAATGGGTGTGACCTGGTCAAAAATCCTGCATAACTTTGTCCAGGAAATCGTTTAGCAGATATGGAGGGCAGATTTGTAATCAGCGTCCAAGGGCCCATCGGGCAGTATACGTCTCATTTCGAATGGCCACTTCGACCAACCATCCTTTCCTTGTTAGTACTCGACTAAGGACTTTTCAGCGCTCCGATAGCACGGCCCTCCTCGTCTATAAAGGAAACACCCAAGAGTTCAAAAACCTGTAAACAGGGCACATTCTGCCGTCCAGGGCACGTCGTACGTTAAGGGATTCCCATTTTTTTTTGATAGTCGATTTCTTTCTGTTCATCCAAGCTGTTGAGACACTATTAGTGGGGGAAAGGGGGTGATGTACCCAAAGAGGAAATCGTGGGAGGAAGGTCGTATCTCAGTACTTTTTCTAGGCGACAGACTTTTACCCTGCAGGAAGTTTTTCGCGAAATTAGGACTCTCTCCCCCAATTTTCCTTCTCTGTACGATCCCTCTCCCCATCCTTACCTACCATCTTACTGACTTTCTCAACTTTCTAACACTTTTTTTCTGAATTTTCCGGAAAATTTGCAGCGTTTCCCCAGAATTTTGCCGCTGAGCGGGAATGGCGGACTCCCCCCCCCCTCCAGCGACGGAATACGACCACCGCTGGAATTCCCAGCGTACGAGCTTGGCCTGTGAAGCCCTTCAGCCTCCACGCTTTCATTGCAGGTGATTGTTGACAACCGTCCGCCCGTTGATCATTAAAAAGTGCTGTAAGCGCTGTGGGCGTACACATCATGAAGAAAGATCGTAACTGGCAGCGCTAGAGGCGTAGCGGACAGCGCACTCCACCGCTTCGCCTGAAAAGTGGGTTCAAGTCCCACTTGGAGCCGAGACTATGCCCGTAACCCATAATTCTTGTGATGAAATCTAAAACCTTCATTTAGCACTTACCTCGACTATGTCCTGGAACAACGTCACGACATAGACGTTGCATATCGATTGAGCAGGCTTCTAGAAGTGGTGGATCGAGATGGATGTCGATCATCGTCTCTTCAACACGACGTGCTATCTATAAATGCAGAAAATGAGCGTAGAAATAAATCACACTCGTCTTTTCTGGCACCGAAATCCAAAAGAACAGAAAGTAGATGAGATGAAAAGTAGAAATGGAGATTTCTTAACAACACTTACCTGCTTATTACAATCTGCATCTGCGATAGCTCCTTTGTGGAAATCGGCTTTCAGGCAGTCCAGTATGGTATCGAAACCACCGCTCTGAAAAGACCGAACAATATGCGACCATCCCATTAAAAAAATACAAGGTTTGTGGAGTTTCTAACAGCTTCTCTCAACGATAGTAGGTGAAAAACAAGCGCAAATTAGTGGTACCCGAAATATCACTGCTCATTCACATACGGGAACCAACAATATTTTGTTACCATACAAATTAAAATAACACTAACATGCTGAATTATCGCTGAAGAGCAGTGCAACTTGATTGTCTCTTGGCAAGCGTGATACAACGGTGGATCGAGCTGAGGATCAAATTCTGCTTCGCACAATGCTTTTCGTCTAAAATTGCTATGTATTATTTTTGAAAACTAGTGCATATGTATATACCACCTAGATCGGGGTCATAAAAAAGCAATAAAAATTATAGTCATCATAAAAAACGACAATCTTTAGACATCAGCCAACTGTTCTGGAAACACCACATCTCCCAGAACCTTAATATAACAACTGTCATCGCAAGAAATCATGTTACGTTGTTGTCGAACTAGAGCCTCAACTTATAAGGACGGAAATCCGTACATCGTTGTGTCGAACACATTATGGGGTCGTACTTTTCTCTGGGGAGGGGGGAGGCGATAGGGTGCCTGTGAGAGAAATTGTCGCTTTGGTTTTTCAGTTGTTGACTGTTTCTGCGTGATCTTCTTGTTTCATGTGTCACTATATACACCCCCCCCCTTCCCGGCTCGAGGGCAAAATTTTAGGGGAAAGTAGAAAAACTTTTGGGAAATCTGGAAAAAGTGGTAGAAAGTTGAGGAACATTCTCCCTTTTCACACTGGCTATATACCCTCCGCTCAACGGAAAATTTTTGAATGTTGAACACATAAAAGAGGCGCCCAAAATTTATTGCGAAAGACTCAAAAGATTCAAAAGAATCCAAAAGTTTTCACAAAAATTTTTTTATATTGTTTATAATCTTTTCTTCTTCGAATATTTATAATTTGTTTAAAAAAATTTTTGTGAAAACTTTTGGATTCTTTTGAATCTTTTGAGTCTTTCGCAATAAATTTTGGCGCCTCTTTTATGTGTTCAACATTCAGATTGCAATGAGGCTCCGGGACAGCACTATTTTGAGAAAATTTTTCGTTAGAAAGAATCTTGAAGATGGAGGTAATCTGTAGGTCGTGCTGAGGAAGTGAGGGGAGTCCTAACGAGATCCCACTCCGGTTATCACCTTAGAGGGGGGCGGGGAGTGGTACAACTGAACACCCCTCTCAAAGAAGAGTCACCTTACCACATCACGATGCTGTACCTTGTCCCGGCAACAATGGCGTTGCAACCAGAGCACGTCCTGCCGTTGGAAAACATTTTTGCAGAATACGATTCCCTCGCAAGTCAGAGCCCACATACACTTACTTTGTCTGTTCCCTCCTCAGTTTAAGGAGATAACAATTCTTATACAAACCGTCACCAAATGGTCCCAATGGACGCAGTTCGGCCCAGTGGGAGCATGTGCTGGTTCTCGTCAATCATTGTCGATGCTTCACACAGAGAACTGTCAACTGTTACGAAGCTATGCAATAGCACGAGCTTCCTCTCACATGACAAATCTTCAATCGTCTCAACAAGGTGGGACGTGCAATTCAACAGGATCAATATCAAAAGAAACTAGCGCAAGCGCAAAATGAGGACCACGTTGCATCCTCACGATGGGGTAAAATTCGAAAACCCGACTCTCATTTTGATTAGAAATTCTCTCGATTGCATGTGCCTGCCTGGGTCTTTCAGCTACGGAAAGCACTCTGTGAACAAGCCTGGTCACCCTCTAGGCGATTTCCTCAGCTTAACACCATCCCAAAAAGTCCATAACAGGTCAGAAACAGCAGACCAACAAGCAGACCACAAACGACTGTCACCACACTAGGCTGAAGAGTCATGGAGAATGAACGATAATTTGAAGCTGAATTGAATGCTGGTCCGAATGTACCATTCATTAAACATTCTTGACGTAACCTGGTTACACCATTCACCTCAGCTTTGCACTGTGCTCCAAGTTCTATACGATTATGAGCTGATTCACGGTACTTCTCTCGTAGACAACCAACAACGACGCCTTCCAGCATTTTTTGTGCATATTGTGGCATCTTCAGCTTCTTCAGTTCATCCAAGCAACTGAAATATTGGCTTACGGTAGCATCGAACATCTGCCTTCAGGAAAAGACTAAAATGCTAGGCTATAGCAGTCCAGAAAATTATTCAAGTTAAAAAAGCCACCCAAAAACTTTCAAATCCCTATTTCGACAGTTCCACCCATTTGCTCGGTTTGTATCGATCAGTGCCAGTGCCTACTATGGAAACCTGTTAATTCTTGAGAAGCTATGCAGCAGCATGAGCTTCACAAGAATTAACAGGTTCACAGCTGACAAGAGTTTACACGTTTTGTAATTCAACAGAAACTAGCAAAGGAACCTTGCAAAGGGGAAAAATCCTCCTTTCCTCCCTTTTCTAGGCCAAACAGCGCCAAATCATTCTCGCATTTCGACCGCAGGTTTTTCCTTCGCCAATCAACCAGTGCAACAACTAACCATAAAACCATTCAATTATCGACTTAACCCAAACAAGGAAGTCAAGCCCAATTAGTTTAACCCGGCGTTTTATCATGAAATGTTTCAGATCATTCAATCACCCTTGGGTATATATCTGAGTGATCCTCGCATGATCTGAGTTCAATCTACCTCATAAAAACCGAGTTGGCATAGAGCCAAACGACGGTAACCCATGAGGACGAACAGGCACAAGGCCAACTTATCAATAAGAGTGACCAGGCGCGCCTGTTATCGCAACGTATCTTTCACGGGCCTAGTTTTCGAGAGTAGCGCATTGGAACACGACCTTTCCTACACCTTACACCTTCGGGACAAACCCCACATAGCACCATACCTGCATGAATAAAGTATCAAAGCTGAATATAAGGTGTACAAAGTACTGTGAAGTACTAGTTTACAGTTACTGCAGAGTAGTTACCATATAAACACGCATGGGGCATCTGCTCAATTGGGCATCATTTTTCGATAAGAAATGAACTACTGTTCCTGAAAAAAGACAGAACTACAATGCAATACAACTCACTAGGTTTCGGCTTCGGTTTTACATGCCAAAAGTAATCCTGGCCGCAGACGAATATCTCGGGCAGATTCTCGCATACGCTCCTGGAAACATCAAATAATTAATTTCTGGTTAAAAAAATCACTCCTAGGTATGTGACAAGACAATCGTAACAATGCGCGCTCGGCGTGGTGAGCGACATTGTCCCCCGCCCGACCATTGGACGTTTATTGTTTATTAAGACGGAAAATAACGATATCATTCGAAATGGAGTCTTGCTTCCGCTTGACTTTCCACGATGGCTGCTTCAATCGATAAACAGGTGCACATGAGGTATTTATTTGCCACGCACAGCCGCACGACGCGCTGCGCGCGACGGCGCGCCAAGCTAAGATTGTCTTGTCCGTCTCCCTTTCGAATCAGGGCACGTTCTCCGCTGGGGAGACTTCTCGCAAGTACGAACCTCCCCCCCCCTTTCATTTTCGTCCTCTGATACGCCCCACCCCCTTCCTCTACCCTCATTTTTTGGAGTTCCCCAGGAATTTTTCAGTCAGTTTGTCCCCGAAAATTTTGTCGTCGGGGGGTGGGGTGGGTGGGGGAGGTGGGGGAAGAGGGGGCGGTCGTCACCAACCAACTAGTACTAGTCCTTGGTACTTACACACCAGTAGTTGGTACTAATACGTACTAATACTAGTACTTATGCGACCCCCCCCCAGCTGAGGATCCCGCAACGTAGGACGTGCCCTGTCCCGTCAAAACCTAGTGTCACGGGTAGTTTTTGTACCGGTGCCAATATCAGCAGTTTTCACGTGAAGCTAGCGAGATACTCGTGCTCAGGGGGTCAAAGTACTCCTGTGGACAAAATTTCAGTGAATGTAGTGTTTCAATGAGTTTTAGCGAGGATGTCAGGCTGTTTCTAGTCAACCAAGAAAGATATTTGTGTTGAAGGGTTCAGCTATTCCGAGAAAGGAATTCCAGAAATCTACCCAAGGGGAAGATTTTCGTTCCAAATCTAACCGGAACTTTGAAAAGTGAGGCAGGTGGTGGTAAACGGCGCTTGGTAGGGGACTGGGGAGAGGGGGAAGGGATTGTTGTAGTGGCGAACGGCGCCACCTACCTTGCGCGCAGTACCGAGTTCAAATCTTGGAATTGTTTCCACGCGGATCAATCGAACCTTCCATCACGCCGGATCGATTAAACGTTCTTGAGAGGGTAAAAACACCTATATGTGTCGCGGTTCCCCACCGTAAGTCATTGCATAGGCAAATCGCAATCAAAGCGAGCACGATTCTGAATTAACTAGAGAAAACGTGTGAATTGCTAAAGCGCTATCGATCAGTGACGTTCGGAAACTTTGCATCTATAATTCTCGTTTTAGACAAAATAGGACAATAATCGGATCATGAAAATACAGCGCGAAAAGTTGAACCAAAACCAGTGAAAGTACTATACGATGGGGCCTTACATATTTCCAAGAATGGGCAATAATATGCTGCGTTCATAGTTTGCGTATAGATATCGATTCAGCGTTTAGAATTTCCACCAGCGCACGCCAGTGTACGCTAGATCGATACCTACACTTTGCCTAGTCGCTGACGCTGCCGTACGCTCGGAACGCTGCGGTGCGCTAGCGTATGCTAACGCAAATATGAAAGTAGTCCATGGGGTTTTATGAGCGAGGAAAAAACGCCAATAAATAATGGCGTTTTTTCCTCGCTCATAAAATCGCGCCAAAGGTGAAGAGTTTTGCCACTGTTTCACACTGTTTTGCAGAATTTTTCTTTTAAAAGTTGGGTTTTCACCGATATTTGAGTGCTCAAACGGGAGGGTCAGGTTGATAAAATTGAGCATTTCCAACAGCCTCGTTTTTTCACTTCTGACTGAAAAGCTAAAACCGCGCATTCCCATTTGCTAAGTATATAGCCAGAAAGTATGTCTCTTGTAAATGCTTGTAACGAACCTAATGCCCTATTGAGTTCAATTGAGAGTATAGGCATACCTGAACAACTGCCCTGCATTCCGTCTGCAGTAAACGGACGATCTTCGTATTTGTCAGACAATCCAGTACGTGCTCCCCGTTCTGACCTGGACAGAACTTTCCGATGTCAAACTTGCATTTCCTCTAAAACACGAAATAATTCATTCACCCAAACCACTGAATCTCTGGGCTTACGAGTTTTTAAGGAACTCATTAGATCATATGAGTCGAACCTAAAGACATATTCCGCATTTGCAATTTGTGGACAGTGAGACTCGAATATGATTTCGTAGGCGCTATTAGATCTATCACTGGAGAAGATAACTTGTTTGAAAGCCTTGAATGCGCCCTCCACCAGGACTTGAACGAGCATTTCAGAAAGCGAGACACTGTAGAGGGACCAGAGGCGCAAGTTGGAAAAAAAGAGGAGCGAACTGACAGACAAGGTCCGGACCGCGGC